AAAAGTTCGTCATATTGATGTTCGCAGCCGAAGTGTTGAAGCGAGTGGAGTAAATCTCTAGTAACCTCTGGCTTGCTGTGAAATGCAATGTATATGCAACTCACTGGATTTTGATTTTAAAAGGTGGGCTGTCCATCCAACCTTTTCAGCCAATCACAACGCGAGCTCGTGTAATTTTTTGGCTTCATTTTAATGTTTTCCGCCTCGGTGCGGAAATATCGGCAACTAATGTGGGCCGCGACAATAGGCTTGTTAAATACATGACAAATATATTATATCTTGACCTCATGGCTTCTTTTTTCCTAATGTCTTCAATAGCCAGATAAGCGAAGTACGTCTTGAGGAAAAATTTGTTTGGTATGTTTGGTGTTTCAAAGAAAAATAAGCATAATGGCTCAGCATTTCGTGTCGCGTGGTTTTGTAGCAGTTTTAGAGAGAATAAGCGAAGTGGATCGAGTGTACTGTGTTGTTGTCATGTAGGAAATCATTATATCTTTGCCGTGGGACAAATTAAGGGCTTACTTTCGTAATATGCATGCATAATTTTATAATGTACATTTGTTAGGGTTATCTGAATAGCTTGGTCTTTCTTTAATATGGATGTAATGATGTGTCATTTTTTCTTTTGGGTGTCTGGGCTTACGTCTAAAACTGCAAGATATTGAAAGCGAAACATTTCTCTGGATTTTCACTGCGGCAAAGGCATACTATTTGCGTATGCAGAGAATCGATAAGAAGACGTGAATATTGTTTCAGTTTTTACCATTTTTACCATAGCTAATTGCTTTTGTCTGCTAAGCTTTCGAGTCATGGCAAAGTTTCAACTTTAATCATACACACGCGTTTCGATATCAGTTTTCTTTGGCTGAGAAAACTTGAATTAAGTTTATCCCAAGCCTCCGTTACAGTCCTTTAAATGAAAACCTGGTAAATAGAGAACCTTCTCTAAATGCGTGCTTAAGTTATCTGAGTTAATTTTGTTTTTCAAAGTCAGCCAATTCGATATTATAACAAAGTCACGAATGAATTCGGACAGCGATAGTTTCATGACGATTAGCAAGTAAACATATCACGCTGGAAGCCGCAGAGTCACGGAATATAACAGACTCTACTTAAAACTGTATTTTAAGGGAAGGTGGTCCAGTTTGATTGGAGTTGGGGGGCATTCCCGCTCTGTAGGAACCCGAAGACCTAAGGCGGGAGTTGCGAATGCGAATGATTGGAGTTGGGACGCATTCCCGCTCTGTAGGAACCCGAAGACCTAAGGCGGGAGTTGCGAATGCCTGTAATCGATCTTGACGACGAAGATGATTTTATGGGAGAGAATTCATTCGCTTTTCACGAATTACGCCATCGCTACATGATGGAAGCGGAGGAAATTCGCGATCCTTCGGAGCTGAAGAAACGGATTGACGACCTGGATGCATTGTCGGCGATCTTTTCTGTCGGATACGATCGTGGGCGCCGACGAGGACGACACGGCCGTCGTCACCATAGAGACGAACAGTGATAAGGAAGTGCCACAGGACAGGTGTTATCTTTTTCAGCCCCATTCT